TGTCGTTGTTCTTGCGATAGATACATCGCATGTTGTTGCTTAATGTTGCATCTTGAAGTATCACTATCGATGATTTTAAATCGATGATACTTTTTATTCAGCATTGGCTTTGGTATCGGAGATACTCTTGATATCATGTGTCGAACTTGATATTGCCGATTTTTTTTTAGATAGAATGAGAAATTGATACTCGATGCCAATACTTTTAAGTGTCAAGTGGATATATTCATACTAATATTATTTCAATTTTCAAAGTTTAGCGCGTTTTCTAAGTGGCAAATTGGCGGTTAAAAATTGAAGAAGTTTCGCCGTATTTTGCCTGCTTGTTACATAATACTTACTTTATCTCTGCTGATTCATGGACAGCATCACTACTCTCATCATCACCATCACCACGTCATCATCATCACCACGTCATCATCGTCACCACATCATCATCACCACCATCGTAGTTCGTGCCCTCATGAACTTTGCCTCGAGTGCGGCTGTACCCTTCGGCGGTTCCAACATTGAACTGGCACACCACATACTCAATCTTTACAATGGCGATGTCAAGGTGATGCTATGATCTTATTATTATTATTATAATTATTGATATTATAATTATAATTATTAAGCGGATATAAAGCGTAAAAATGCTTAAAGTTCATATACAGCATATATAAGCGTATATGAAGTATATATCTATATAGACATGTATAACTATTTAATGCATCGTCACAATGATCATCACAATGATCATCACAATGATCATCACAATGATCATCACAATGATCATCACAATCATCATCACGATCATCATCACGATCATCATCACGATCATCATCACGATCATCATCACGATCATCATCACAATGATCATCACAATCATCATCACAATCATCATCACAATCATCATCACAATGATCATCACGATCATCATCACGATCATCATCATCATCGTTTAAAGAAAACTTGTCTCTCATTGATGGAGAGGAGACCACTACTACCAAGCAACAAATTTCTAGACACGTATAAATACTCTGGTGAGTAATGATAATGATGTTGAGGATGATGCTGATGATGATGTTGCTGATAGTGATGTTGATGGTGATGTTTCTTTATTTGCTCGCTCATTCATTCATTTATCATTACATCATTTGCTGATTCCATTAATCCACTCATTCGTTGAATTATTGATTGATTGATTGGTTGGTTGATTGATTGATTGATTCATTGATTGATTCATTGATTCATTCATCATTCACTCACTCTAGAAACATCAACATGGACAACATCTGAGATAGAGATATTCAACAGAGCCGTCTACAAATATTACAAAGACTTCTTCAGTGTAGCCAACGAGGTCGGCCAGTTTATTATTATTTATTTATTTATTTATTATTATTTTTTTATGATATGCTATTTTTACGTTATTATTATTTTTATTATTATTATTGATGAAATTGATTTTAAAAACTTACTGTCGTGAAACCGAGACGTTATTATCGCGCCGACATGCTCCATTTATATTTCAGATAACTACAAAGACAACTAAGGAGTGTGTGGATTTTTTTATCTATGGAAAGTTGGGGTATGCTATTTTAGTCTGTGTGTGATCTTTTCGTCGTTATTAACTTGATGGT